TAGCCGAGCGTGCCGAAAATATACTATACGATTTCAACCATATCGGACCGAAATTGGTGGGAAGTGATGCAAATGAAAACCATACAGTGGAACTGCTTAAAAATGAATTGGAAAAGATTAGAAGTGTTATGCATGAGGATCTCTTCGAATTGGATGTCGATGTGCAGGTTGTCTCTGGTGCTTATATGCACTGGCAAATGGTGAATATGTATCAGGCGGTGCAAAACGTTGTGGTACGTATTAGGAGTAAAAATTCCACCAGCGAAGCAGCCTTACTCATTAACAGTCATTTTGACACGAAACCAGCCAGTCCCGGTAAGTAACTATGAGATTGTTTGCGCACGCGATATATGTATGTATACATACATAGATACATATGCGGATTATTTTTTACTTGATAAATTAAGGCGCTGGCGATGATGGCACCATGGTTGTTATATTACTCGAGACTCTGCGCGTGCTCGCTACAACTCGTCAAACTTTCAAACATCCCATTGTATTTTTATTCAATGGCGCCGAAGAAAATCCTTTGCAGGCCTCACACGGTTTTGTTACCCAACACGAATGGGCTAAAAATTGCAAGTAAGTGTGGAGATTTGCGGAATGTATGAAAATTGTATTTCACTATACAAACATGTTTTATTAGAGCGGTCATTAACTTGGATTCAGCAGGTAGCGGTGGTCGTGAAATTCTCTTCCAAGCCGGACCCAATCACCCATGGTTAATGAAAGTAAGTAGCAGTTTGTAGTTGTGGGGAATTAATTTTTTGTTATCGGCGAGACTGAAAGAGGCAACTGCCTTGTCGAAGCAACGGGACATTTGTTATTCTCGCTGTTAGAAAAAAGGAACAGTTCAGCGCCTTCGTCTTGGTCTGCAGGCTGTATCGGAGACACAGCCGCTAAATTTAAACGTGGAATGCGTGGTATGGTTTAGAGGGCATCCAAGTCAAAAACGAAAGCACACACTTAGAAAAAAATATCGATAACAAAAGCAATAATGATGTCGATAGCGAAATCGATAACAAGATCGATAAAAACATCGATAATAAAATCAATAAAAATATCAATCAACAAAATCGATAGCAAAATCGATAAAAAATTCGATAAAAATATCGATAACAAAATCGGTTACAAAAATCTATTACAAAATCGACAACAAAATCGACTAAAATATCGATAAAAAATATCATTTATTATATCGATAAGTTCCGAAAATATCGATCGCAATATCAATAACAATATCGATAAAAATTTCGATAACAAAATCGATAAAAAATATCGATAACAAAACCGATAAAATATCGATAACCAAACCGATAAAATATCGATTATTATATCGATAAGTCCCGAGAATTCCGACAATCTCTAAAATCCTGAAATAGTGCAAAATGATGACGAAGAGATTTTGTATGGAAAACTATTTATGCCCATATATTTGAATCAAATAAAAATACTATACCAAATGAAAGGAAAAATCTTGAATTGATTAAAGAAAACAAAAACAAAATCATTCGAGCGGTTTTCGAGCATTTTGGAAATAAATAAAAAAATTGCGAATTTTGTCCACAATTTTTTGCATTAAAATACGTAATATTTATTTCTCGAACTTATCTAAAATTTGTACACGATAATATTTCTATTGAATGAAAATTTTACCTGCAAATCGTAAGTTGCTAGAGCACTTTAAAGGCTCAAAATTTACCTCAAATTAAGCCAATATTAACCGTTGTTTCTACAACAGAAACCGAATTGGTTACTTACCAAAATGAATCTGTCGATTTTTCTGGAAATTGGTGTTTGAAACGCCACACCCTTCCTTCAAATCGCTTCATTAGTTATCGTGCAATAAGCGTTTTCGTAAGGCTCTAAAAATTACAACTACAACATTTGAGCATAGCCTCCATATCGAAACGTAAGACGTATTCTACGTAAAAAAAAAATTTTTTTCTGGGCCTAGAGGCCACCACCAATCAATATCCGCTTTATTGCAACAGTATTGAATGAAACCGGTTAAAATAAATACATGAGGAGAGCCAATGTTTCACGCTTCCGAAATTTGCTTTTAGTTAAAATTTAAATACAAATTACCCCTTCGATTACATGGGCATGCCTTATCAATTTCCCCACCGTTTATATACTTGAAAGTTTACGTTTTATCTTCCTTCCACGATAACTATTGATTTTAATTGAGTAGTCAATAAAAAACACATAAAAAAATGATTTTAACAGCCAGCACACTTACGGTAGAGATTTATCAATCCAGTGTATTGGAATTGTGTAAAACAATTTGGAGAAGTTTTTTTTTTACTATTTCTGATTAAAAGTCGGCAAAACTTTTGTATAGTTTAGATAAGGTTAAATTATGTTTAATACTTTGAGAGTGTGAAGTGTGATTGTACACGCGATTTGTTGATACTCGTTCTCAATCAAATGTCAATTTAACGGATTTTTATTTGGTCGTAAACAGCTATTAGAGCTAAAAATAAAATGTATACAAACATATGTACATTAGGGTGGATCAAAAATAAATAAGAAAATCAACTTTTTTGAAGGAATAGGAAGTGCCACATATTTTAGGAAGATGCAAGTAAAAATATATTTATTTTATACATTTATAAGGGACGTTCCATGTTAACCGGAAGAGAGCTATATCCAAAAATTGGTGCAATACAAAAAATGTTCAAGGGCTGAAAATGTTTTTACACTTTTGCTCTTTTAAAAGCACTGCGGCGATTTTGGAAATTAAATTCAATGTGATGGCTTCAGTGGAAGTGATGAAATTCATCAAACTCACAAACCGACAAATATTATCATTGATAAAATTTTCAAAACCTGATGAAATGAAAGGAAAGGATACTTTTTTAAGCATTGTTGAGGTCACTGAATAAAAATATGGTGTCGGTTTTAAAAAAATTGAAAACAGCGGATCCAAGATGAAGGACGATTTCTTTTTTATTCAACAGTTTTGCTCTAAATTTAAAACTTCTGGTTTTCGGGATTGCTCAACTCAAATCAGGTATCAGATTTTAAAAATTCTTACTGGATCTACCATTTTAATGGCCTGATTCGGGTCCTAAATATTGAATGTCCGGATGGGCGGGATTGGGATTGAATATTTATTTCAGCGCCCATCCTTACACAAACACAGAAAACACTTTGAGTATATCAATACAGTTAACATCAGGGAGTGTTAAACTTTTTGTCAATAAAGTCGAAATCAATTGTATTTTTACGATCAAAAAAACAGCTAACAGGTTAATCAAAAATAACAGTTAAAATGTTACTTCTATTTTTTGGATCAAAAATAACTGAGTATTTACTATTGATCGAATAGCGATAACATTTTTTCATTATTTTTAAACTATAACGTTTTCTTTTGATAGAAATCAAGTCTTAACTGTTATTTTTGACTGAAGCATACCGTTAAAAACGATTTATTGTTGACTTTTTTTGAAAAAAAATCAAATACAATTTAATCACTTAAAATTTGTATTAGGAGTAGTATATAAATAAATAAATATTTAAATATCAGAAAAAAATTCTTTCTGCGAAAAAAAGCTTTTATTTTAGAACCAGATACATTCAATTTTCCCATGACAGTCGGGTCTACGTAACCGGAACAACCCAAATCGACATGTAAATCCAATGGCCAAGGACTGTTACTCCTGCTGATTGCCGGTAACTCTTTGGGGGATTTTGATGCTGTTATGGGGGCGCCTAGTAATTTATTATTTTTTCTTAGCAATATTAGTTATGCAAATATTAATGCGAATAATGTATTTTATGTTTAAAACGGCAACTGATTGATCTTCTTTAAAAAAAAACTTCCCGAAGAGATATTAGCATTATTTTCACCCAAAAATTACTTTTCATTTATGTTTTATCGGGGTACTATTTACGGCGAGTATTGAATCAAATTATGTGCATGTTTGAAAACTTTACTAAAAATTACAGATCTACCATCGTAACGCTAAACGTTCATTTGCGACAACATTCGCAGAGGAATTATTCCAATCCGGCATTATACCTTCGGATACAGATTTTACAATATTCAAAAATTTCGGAAATATACCAGGTAAGTACCTGAAAATAAGTAAACCAAAGTGACAGTTTTAACAAAAAAGTGAAAAGAGCTACTAAATTAAAAAAAAAAAATATTTTCCCAACGTGTTTATAGGCTTGGATATTGTACACTTCAAAAATGGCTATGTATACCACACGAAATTCGATAGGATTGATGTTATACCACGTGGAACGCTACAAAGTACTGGCGATAATATATTAGCTCTGGCGCGTGCTTTCGGCAATTCTACAGAATTAAAAGATCCAGAGGTAGGTAAAAAAGAGTATACCTCCCTACAGCAAATAGATCTTAACAATAAAAATATTTACATACATATTTTTGGAAAAAAAGTTATCGAAAATTAAAGTTTCATTTTCAAATTAGTTTAACTTGTTTATTCATCCGGAAAATATTAGAAAAAGATAACAAAAATAATAGAGATTTCTTTAAACACAAAGACTTTTAAATATTCCGGATTCATCGTTCTAATTCTGAACTAAAGTTGAAGTTGAGTTCACAACTAAAAAGCGTTCAGAACTTTTCCCAGTTGCTCTCCCAGAGAGAGAAACACAACAACAACCACCAGAAAAGTTCTGAACTGTAAAGATGAATCCGTTTAGTTCAAACCTTTTCTTCCATGTGATTTTTGTTGTGTTTCTCTCACAAAAAGATAGAAATATAACAACAACCACATGGAAGAAAAAGTTCAGAACTAGAACGATGAACCCACCATGATGAAATTATAAACAGGTGAAGTACTTAATTAAAAAGCTTTAACGCTTTATTTTCCAGACATTTGGCTATCTTATAAAAGTTGTAAAAGCAAATTTTCAAATAAGATGGTGTCAAATCTTTCTTCTCGCTCTAATTACTACACCCGGTATAAATTCACCATGGAATCCGCCTTAGAGGGATTGTCTACACAAGGTATATTAAACAAGATGTGATTGACAACTCAGTGCGGCTCTCTTTTAAGGTTCTATATTGCCCAAAAATATAAACAAACGATTCAAAACTTATATTTTTTTCAATTTAACTTTATACGTTGGTTCTTATGAGATCAATGTCAAATTCAATCACACTTTGTTAAATATATTTTGTGTGTATCTTTCGAATTGTGTAAAAAATTCATAAAAATATAGTTTCGAAATTATAGTTGTATGAAAAAAGTTTAATTGTTTAACGAAAAACAACTGTGTGTGTACACAAGAAAAATAAACTTAAATTATGTTTTGTAAAAGTTTACTAAAATAAACATAAAGCTTACAAAACGATTATTCTTGGTTTGCAAGGCGCTTAAAACAGTTTAATATATCTAATCGAAACGGCACCTTGTTTATAAGCGTTAGAATATAAATTTATAATGCATTTAAAAAAGAGATTATTTCTTTCGGTTTTGTCGTAAACATTTTCGTTTTACTTTTAAAGTTAAGTGATTTATAAATATTCGCGCCCAACACTTATAAAAGGTTCATTTTAAAAGCATAACATAAACACAATACTACAAACGTTTATTTAACACTTAATTTAGCAAGCTTACCAAGGCGAATTTGATAAGATGGTGTTGGAGCGACAGCTGAGTTTTTCGCTATGGAGAGTCTTACGTCAAAATGATGTGTTTGTTGTAATTCAAACCAATGACAGTATGAATACCACATATAATTTTTTAGTGTAATTTTTTACTTATACCACCTTATTAAATTCGCCTTGAAGCTCTCTTTACTTTTAAAAAACACTTATAGCTCAGTTATGCATACTTTGCACTGCACTGCATAGCATGTCANTTCATAGCCGACGAATTGAGAGAACGGTTTTACCTTACTATGTTTTTATCATGACTACGATCGGTATAAATTCACCATGGAATCCGCCTTAGAGGGATTGTCTACACAAGGTGTATTAAAAAAGGTGTGATTGACAACTCAGTACGGCTCTCTTTTAAGGTTCTATATTGCCCAAAAATATAAACAAACGATTCAAAGCTTATATTTTTTCAATTATATAAACGTGAGAATATAAATTTATAATGCATTTAAAAAAGAGATAATTTTTTCGGTTTTGTCGTAAACATTTTCGTTTTACTTTTAAAGTTGAGTGATTTATAAATATTCGCGCCCAACACTTATAAAAGGTTCATTTTAAAAGCATAACATAAACATAATACTACAAACGTTTATTTAACACTTAATTTAGCAAGCTTACCAAGGCGAATTTGATAAGATGGTGTTGGAGCGACAGCTGAGTTTTTCGCTATGGAGAGTCTTACGTCAAAATGATGTGTTTGTTGTAATTCAAACCAATGACAGTATGAATACCACATATAATTTTTTAGTGTAATTTTTTACTTATACCACCTTATTAAATTCGCCTTGACGCTCTCTTTACTTTTAAAAAACACTTATAGCTCAGTTATGCATACTTTGCACTGCACTGCNTGAGCCATCACAGAGATGCTTATTGGGTAATTGATGTATTTTTATGTTCACATTATTT